GGAAAATACAGTTGGGGGAATGGGCACGGGAAAGGTTGTGGAAACACCTGACTGTCAGACTAAGGAATTGGGCCTGTGAGTACGGGCTTTAAGTCCCTAAATAACTGCACAACTTGTGCATCTTTCGCCAAGTTAGCCTCGTGCATTTCGTAACAGCTCTCAGATTAGATCCAATTGTGCTATCTCTGAGAGTTTGGGTTGAGAACTGCAGAAATGAAAGGTAGCAAGAATAAAATATGGAGTAGTCGGCGGGGAGGAAATCCATGATGCTAATAATAGCTAGCGTTTCTCCTTTTCAAAATGTAATTTCTCAGTGCTAAATATATAACTTATCTCATTTAATGTTCACAAGTGTGAATCGTGAAAATGTGCTAAATACTATCATGATCCCCACTTTACCAATTAAAAAAAAACCAAAAAACCCTGAGGCTCAGAAAGGTTAAGTAGCTTGCCCAAGGTTGCAAAGCCAGGAGGTGACACAGGCAGAGAGAAAGCCCAGACGATTTGACTTCAGTGTCTACATTTTAATTCAGTGCTAAATACCATGTGGAAAAGGACCCTGGGAACCTTGGCTCTTTGGTTCCAGGGATCAGTGGCAGGAGGCAGCTGCCATTGACTGAGACGAGCAAGGCTGCGGACCATGCCGAAGGCAAGCTGCTCTGGGTGGTGAATGAAGAGTTCAGCTGGGGACACGCTGTGGCGGAGGTGTGTGGTGAATATTCACAGGGAGGTGCGGAAATTCAAGCAGACCTGCAAACAGGAAGCTGGACACTGAGGTCCGACTTCAGGGGTAGATCTTGTCAGCAGGTCACTACATTCAAACATGAGGGACCTGGGGGATTTTCAAACAAGTACGTGTATTTAGAGAAGACACCCAAGAACAGGACCATGGGGAGCTCTGACAATTGGGTGATAAGATGTGCAAGGACACCAGGAGCAGTGGCCAGGGAGGTGGAGGACCTGGAAACCAAATGAGGAGGATGCTTCAAGAAGGAAGGTGTGGCCTGCCGCATAGATTCAACTGAGATCAGATCCTCTGGGATAAGTGCTGAGACTTTTGGTATTTGGCAGCTGTGGGGAGGGCAGGGGGCAGGCACAGCATCATGGCAGCCTTAACCAAAGGTTGAATGGAGTGTGTTCAAGGGAGAAAAAAACAAAAAACAGGAAGCAGGAACATTGAGCATTGTACTTAATATCTGTAGCCTGAGCAAATTTGAGGTTCAATGTACTTATCATGATATCACTATAAAGATCATTTTTCTTATTAGGTTATATGCTCCTCAAAGAACTAGAAATGTGATTTATCTTTCATGCTTTGCACAAGGTAGGTGTTTAAATAATAATGGCAGAATTTAACTAAAATTTTAAAAGAAACATTCTCTTTGTCCCACAGTACATGAAACACTTTATGCACCCCCCACCTGGCACTTCCCGGCACAGACACCTCTGGGGAGGACCATGTGGAAAAGAAGAAACTTAGTGTGTTTTTCTTTTTTTAAAAAAACCAATAAAGGTCAAATTTCCATTGCATGATCACTTTGTGCATGCGTGATGAATCTCTTAAATGCTTATCTTAGAACTTGGGTTCAGGAGGGGGAAGAGGGGAAAAACCTCAGCCCTGCCAACACGTTGGTTTGTGTGAATCACAGCTCAGTGGAACCTTTCAGGCATATAATTTATCTTTTCTTTGGCCTGTGTAGTAAAGGCTTCATTTGTTCGTGAATTCTTGCCTTGTTTTAATGATGTGATGCTCTGAATGTAGTTTTATGAGGCACAAAAATAAGATTGTCATTCTGAAAACACAGAAGATTTGTGTGCTTCCCCCAGAATGAAATGGTGGCATCTCTTTCCCAATTCACAGTTCTGTGGCTTTGTGGCTGGAATTCCAATCTACTGAGGAGCAAGTGGTGAAAGTTGGGGGGGGGGTTGGGGGAGGGGGAGGGGGACAGCTGATGAGCCCAGAGCATAATTTACCCTAAGAATTCTGAATCAATACATTGCATCCTGTCTATGCATAGGACATTTTCTGGTGGTGTCCCCACCCAGAAGTTTTATTCTGGGAAGTTTTATTCTTACTTTCTGAGGGCTGTGTTCTCTCATGGCACTTACAGAACAATTGGTCCCCCCTCTAAATACAGGACTGTGTAGCCAGGGATCTGCTGAGAAACCTTAACAAATCAGAAGCCCATTTTGGGAGTTAAAAATTCTTCAAGTCGTGTGCATTTGAAAATCACACAAGTTCCCAGGTTGACGAAGAAATGCCTATTTCTTCACTTTTTTTCATGTTTTATGTGTACATCATGCAGATTGAGCACTGAATATTTCAAATTACCACCAACCCAAGATGGAAATTCGCAGCATATTGTAACAAAATCTGATGTAGATTTCATTGGTAAATTGGAGGGCACTAGCTCACTTACCCAGAAAGGAAAGCAGGTTATAGTTTTTGGGTAACCTGAGAGATTACTGTAACTTCACAATATCACTCCTGGGTTTGCTGTGCTAGATAACTCCCAGGGTTCCAACACAAGCCCCCACCTTTGGGCTCAGATCTCACCTTGAACTCCATTCTACAAATAGAGTTGCCATCCTTGAGAGGGTTTTTTCAATAAAGGAAGCTGAGATAATAAAGCACAACTCTGAGCCAGGTGTGGTGGTGGCACACATATGTAATCCCAGCAACTCAGGAGGCTGAGTTGAACTTTCATAAGTTCAAGGTCAGCCTCAGCAACTTAGCACGATCCTGTCTAAAAATAAACTAAAAAGAGTTGGGAATGTAGTCAGTGGTAAAGTGCCCCTGGATTCAATCCCCAGTATTGCAAAGCAAAAACAAACAAACAAACAAAATGAAACAAGAAAGAAAACAAAACCCAGAACTTTTCTTAGATGAACAGTGAGTTGAAAGGGCTGGAGTTTTATGGTCACATACATTCAGGATCAGATGCAGAACTGGTTTACTAAGATGGGGATTTGGATGAGTCACCAGGCAATCGGGCAAAGATGGGTAAAATAGCCCTTCATTCCTATCCCAAATAACTCAGTCTTTTCCTGACTCAGGCAATGGATGGGCTTTGATGCCTACACTCCAGAAATACCCGACTATCAAAAAAATGGCAACCTCAGAATAGCTTTGGAAGCCATGGCCAAATGACAACTCCACAGTGCTTCTCTGCTCAGGCAAAGGAAGCAAGCAGTCTCTCTAATGCTCATGAGAACCAAACAGCAGTTGACAGCCCCAGACCAGGGGCTCTTAGGCTCCTGGTGTGTCCGTCTGATCCACTGCTCCCTGGCTTGGGGGGTGGATCCTCCTGAGTCTGGCCACCCCCCAGCATTGCTTCCTCAGCACAGCACTGAGCACCCTGGACAGCCATCACAGGTTTATTTATTCGTGTTTTCTTACTGGACACCGAACTCCTTAGAGTAAACACCCTAACCCTGTCCACCACAGTAGCTCTGTGCCTCAGGCTGCTCCTGGGCACATCTGAAGACTCACTTTTTATTAATACAAAAGCTATTCAATTGACTCCTTGAACTGGTACAGCTTGGGAAGTGGGCATTTCAAGGGACTTTTCTTTTTTAACTTCTGAAAAAAAATTTGAAAATACTTTCAGTCAAAATTTATAGGACTGGGCATGGGGGTGCATGCCTGACACCCCAGGCAGGAGGCTGAGGCAGAAGGATTGCAAGTTTGAGACCAGTCTCAGCAACTAAGGCTCCAAGTAACTTAGAGAGATCCTGTCTCAAAATAAAAAATAAAAAGGGATGGGGATGTTGCTCAGTGGTTAAGGGTCCTGGGTTCAATCCACAATACCACGCCCCTCCCTGCAAATTTATAGGGACAGCAGAATACTGCTGGTAAAAGTCTTGACATGTGAGCCTTACTATGTTTTCCCAATTTCAAATGTCCAGAATATTTGGCTGGTGTCTAATAGTCTCAATATGATGCTTTACAGCACCCCAGATGCATTAAAATCATTGATTAATGTGATACTCATTTTCTTTAAGAAAAACAATATATGCACAGTGCTTAGAACACAGCCTTGAATATTATAAGGACTCAAAAGATGAAAGCTAGTGTTATTAGCATCTTAGCCGTACATCATTACGTTGTCATTAAGACAAATATATTGACAGTGGTGATATTTAACCATGTCATAAAACCTGAGCCCATCTGATTTTTTTCTTTGTTCTATATTTAACTAGAAGCTCGAACTTTATGCCTACGTTTTGAAAAAATATTGTTATTGAAAATGTCTGTTAACCAAGAAAAGGAGTGCTTCAAAAATACCATGTATTGACTTCTATTTCCTTCCACATTCAAGGAGTTATTTTCCTGCCCAGAATACAAACAAACTCTTTCAAGGTTAAATGCTCTCTTTACTGTCAAAAGAGCTTGGCTTTCTTTGCTCAAGATTCAGGATATTACCTTAAAAAAAATCTATATTTTTACAAAAGTATTAATTTAGCTTGTTGGAAAGTAACCAATACATAAAGTAGTCTGTGGAGCTGTAAACGACACCTTCCTGCAAGAGATAGTTAAAGATCAATCCAGGTTCTTCTGAGCAAAGCATGAAATGTGTCCCAGCTAATGCCTAAAACCACACCGTATGTCAAACACGCTGCTGAGACCAGGCAGGGGATTTAAGTCTTTTAGGAACCATTTTTATTCCACTAATGCCTTTCTGTCCGGACTCCAGTGATCACAAATGCGACCTGTCTGCCTCGCCTCTGATAAATGGAAGGACGGGTTCATCTGCATGTAACTCACCTTCTCTTTTCTTTTACATAAAACAGATGTCCCGGCTGTTATTGTTCTCCAAACAGATGTTTCTGCCCAAAGAAACAACCCTCTGCTATTTGTCCTAGAGGGGTGCACGGCTTGACCCCTGTCTAGGACCCCGAGTGACTGTAGGGTGATGCACGTGCCCCTGTCTTGGGTCTTGGCCCATCAGCGCCTGCAGCGCACCCTGGGCGCCCCGGGTCCTGGCACGCGCTCTTACCTTCCCTGCAGGGACCGCATCGCCCTGCCCCGGGCCTCCGGGGGCCTCCTCCGCCTGGTCCTCGCTCTCTGCCCTCCTGGCCTCCTCCTGGATGTCAACTGCTGCCTTGTCCCGTCCTTTGTCCAGTTTGAATAATTTGTCAAAAAAGCTGGTGTCCTTGGCGGGGGCCGCCCCTGACTGGGGTGCCCCGGGGGCAGAGAGGGCCTGGTCCGGGGCAGGGGTCCGCCCCGGGGTTTTATCCGTGGCCCTGCCCGGTGCAGCTGCGCCCGGAAGCGCGGGCTCCTCACTCGGGTCTTTGTTCCCCGGAGCGTTATTGGAGCTGACATCAAGCTTCGCGGGTCCGCTGGATGAATCCGTGCCTTGGTCTCCGGTACGTCCTGGTACAGGCCGAGAGAGAGTCAAGAAAAAACGAGATTTAGCAGCTGGTGCCTCGGGTTTGGCCTCTTTCCCAAGATTCTTTCCGTTGGCATCGGCCACAGCGCCCATCTCCATTGTCTTGGGGGAAGAAGTGGTCACATTATCCTCCTGCATGCTTATTCCCAGATCCACTGTAAACACAAACATAAACAGAGGTCATTCAACGAGCCAGGAAATTCCAGGATGAATAATGGACTCCAAACTGTTGATACACAAAGGCCGCGATGCAAACGGGGACCTTGCTTTCTCCAGCTGCTCCGCAAAGCAGAAGTTAGCCATCCAGATGTCTAGTGACCTGCTTTTCCCAGGAGGGGCACGGCAGGTTGGCCGGAGGGCAATCCCTAGGGGCCAGGCACTGCCTGAGTGACACCCAGCCACAGTTGTCTTCTATCTCCACAGGAAGATGGGAGAAGCATTTATCGGACAGTGGTTAGGAGCCTGGATCTCCGGAAATAGATTAAGGTCTTTGGAACTCCCCAGTGTTAACTTTTGGGATCAATCATTCTTTATTATGGAGATCTCTGGCCTGGTACTATTGGGTGGATGCTAGTAGCATTCCCTTCTTGTGACCACCAAACACATCTCCAGATTTTGCCCAATGTCCCCCAAGGAGACACTCATGTTTAAGAACCACTGAGTTAGACTCTATTTGAATCCAAGTTATTTATTTTTTCTCTGCTTCAATTTTCTAGCAAAATAAGGCAAATAATAGAACCTGCCTCATAATTTTGTTAGGAAGATTACACGAGTTGATATTGTTAAAGTACAAAGGAGGGGGTCAGTACTATACTAAGTGCTCCACAAATGTAGTGAATCTTAGCCAATACCATTACTCAGGAGTGAGAAGCTGATATCCAGAGAGGTTGATCTACCTTCTCAGGGCTGCCCAGCAAGCTGGGAGGTAGCTGAGCCTGGCACAGGTAGAACCCAACTCTTAACTTCATTGCTTTCTCATGTTAGCATGAACGGTTAAAAGTGTTGCAGATTGCTGGGCGCTGTGGTGCATACCTGTGATCCTAGCATCTTGGGATGCTGAGGCAGGAGGATCACGAGTTCAAAGCCAGCCTCAGCAAAGGTGAGGGTCTAAGCAACTCAGCAAGACCCTGTCTTTAAATAAAATATAAAATAGGGCTGGGGAGGTGTTTCAGTGGTCGAGTGCCCCCGAGTTCAATCCCTGGCACCGCCCCCATCACCACCAAGAAAAAGTTTTGCAGATTGATACAAGTAATACTGGCAAAGTTTGCACTTTGAAGACCAGCTAAGCAGATGTCTGCCTAGGAAGGCTAGTTGGACCTCAGACCCCAGTAGAACTAGACCTCTTCCCTGGAGGAGCACTTTCCCAACATCCGCCTATTTGTGCTTTGCCCTCTGCCTCAACTTAATTGAGCTGCTTTTCCCTTTAAGCAGTGTGTTTTGGGGAAGTGGGGTGGCAGAGGATAGCAAGAATTTGGGAATCACCATTAAAGATCTTCTGGACCCTCCCCGGATGAACCGTGTGGTCTTGAGCAAGTCTCTAAAATTCTCAGCATTTCCTCATTTGTAAAACGGGAACATTTGCGGCTTCCTCGCAGGCTTGTCATGACTGACGCACAAAGGACTTGGCACAATGCCTTTACCACGGCGTGCACCTCATAAAGTGACAGGCCCCTGGTTACTTTTAAGACTCCTCCCCTGCCTTTGATAACACGGCCTTGTGTTTGATACACTTGGTCAGGAGATGCTTCTTAATATGTTGGTAGGAAGACAGACAAGGATAAAGGGAAAGGGAAGGCTCCCTTGCTTATGTTGTACATTAATATATGGCAATCACCCTCCCCCACCCCTCTCTCATTGGTGATTGTTTTTGCCAAACTCTAGTATCTCATAGTGTTTAAAGTCAGGAGCAAACACACAGGAGAGAGGGAGCTGGATTCTTGCTTAGCAGGCAGCCTCCTCCATCAACACGGAGGGGCAGGGAAGTGGTAGAAGACCAGGCCAGAGGCTGGTGAGTGCTGGGGTTCCTCCTACACCCCGACCTCAAGGCCCCTGGCTCTGGCTGCTGGCTGTTCTCCACCTTTTACCTGTGGCCCAGGAATTGGTACTGGAGGTAGGTGCTGCAGGAGAGAGAAGGACAGAGGGAGAAGTGACAGATGGAGCAGGGCACCTGGTGAGCCCAGGAGGCAGCTCTGACACATTCAGAGAGGATATAAATGACTTGTGGGCATGGGCCACACCAGGAGCAGAGGAAACAGTTGACAAAAAGGGAGAGGCTGGGGGCAGAACAAGGAAGGGACTTTCAAAATGCCAAGAGCATCAACTGGCTCCTTTCAGTCTGCTTTCTCTGCTCCTCACCCCCTGGCTGGGAACCACAGAACTGGTTGTGAGAGTGTCAATGCCAGAGACATTTCTTTCTATGGAAAAGAAGCCCAACGTCCCATGGATAGACTTTTTAAAAAAGTACCAGAATTTTGCTTTGCTAAAGGGCGAATCCCATGTATATTAACAGATGTAAACAATAGCTCTTGGTTTTCTTCGATATAAGGAGGCTGATTCATAGTAGGGTAGGAGGGGGAGCATGGGAGGAATAGATGAACTCTAGAGAGGGCAGAGGGTTGGGAGGGGAAGGGAGGGGGCATGGGGTTAGAAATGATGGTGGAATGTGATGATCATTATTATCCAAAGTACATGTATGGAGACACGAATTGGTGTGAATATACTTTGTATACAACCAGAGATATGAAAAATTGTGCTGTATATGTATAATAAGAATTGTAATGCATTTTGCTGTCATAAATAAATAAATAAATAAATAAATAAAACAATAGTTCTTGGTATCGAGAATCAACAAGGTGTTTTCAATGACTTAATAAGAACTCAGTGTCCTTAGATGGTACATTCCATGACCACTGAAGCTCCAACTCCAACCCCTGGTCGATCACCTGGGTTTCCATTTTCCTTGCTAAGATGCTCAAGTCCCAGGTGGGCACATGATCTAAGCTTAATTAATAAAAAATAAGTCCTGAGTCTTTTGCTAAACCCACCAGAAGAGAATTGTGCCCTTTGTGCTGGGGTTGGCAATCCACCAGGTCATACATCTAGAGGTGGTGCTGGCTTTGGCTACAACATTGGGGTAGTGACCAACAGATGAAGGCAGAGCCAGGAAATCCAGAATGTAGACTCCCAATGATATCATTTGGACATCTGGATCCAGCTGTGCCTGAAATTGGATTTTAGTGTCACATGAGCCAATATTACCTCCCTGCCTCCTTGCTAGTTTAAATTGAGCACATACTCAGTGATTCCAGAGAGAATTTCTGGGAATTGGCCAGTATCTGTTTCTCTTGTTATTTAGTAGGAATCAACTCTCCCCTAAGGGAGTGGTCTCTAAGCTCTTCAAATGTGTCCAAAGAACCAGTGAGCTCTGGGAAGTTGGGGGTACATGAAATGCATTCTCTAACATTTCATCTTAACAAAAAGGGAGAAAATCCATAAGGGAAAGAGAGATTACAGTCATCTGAGACCTTGGATACCAACTCTTAAAACAGATAAAATATGTTCTAAAACACACACACACTCACACAACAACAAATCTGTGTGAATTGAGTTGGGAGAAATGCCGTTGGAGTTACAAGTTTTGTCCTCTTGCAAAGATAGGGCATATTTACATGCTTCTCCACATTATCATGGAAGAAGTACGTTCCTTCTAGAAGACTGGAACTGAGCTTTCAGTTCCTATGAAAAATCTTGGGGGAAACCCATCTTGAATCTGGTTTCAATGAAAAAATGTTCTTGGAAAGCAGACTGATGACATAGCAGAGATTTTACTTTTCATGGAAGAGAAAAAAAGTCTATTAGAGTTTAAAGAAGATAAAAGGAAATCAAGTAAGAATATTTGCAAATGGCAGCTCCCAAATACTTAGAAGGTGAAGCCGAAAAGTTTGACCTCTTTCATGCAGAAAAGGTAGTTTATACTGTGCATGTGTTCTTTTAAAGGAAGTGGTTTTATCTAGATGTGTGATTGGAAACAATCCCAGGAACATCTGCGGGTAACTGTAAAGAACTTAGATTGTGGATCAGAGGGACCCAGTTTTGACTTGCAATCTCTCAGTCACTAATTGGGTGGCTGGTAAGTTACATGGAATCTTTGTGCCTCAGTTTTCTTATAAAATGGGCACGAAAGTAACAGAGCCTTCCTCAAAGGCCAATTGTGAGGATTAATCGAATTATTCCCTATAAAGTGCCTGACACACGCTGGTGAGTAGGTGATGTTCAGGAATCAGTAGTTAGTTGTCTTTGTTCTATTTTTATCCTATTACTATGATTATTTCTTTCTATTTTTAAATCTAGGCCAGAAGGGGAGGAATGATTCAAGTGGCTTTACCTGCAAACTCGAGTGCTCTGGAAAGGCTTTTAAGAGCAAGAAGCCAGGGGCTTCTAGAATATCCTCATCATCTGCCAAGCACCAGGTCTTCTTAGTCTAAACAGGGGGCTTCATCAGAGTTCTGAGGGTGCATGTACACCTGTGTTGGTATTGCAGTATTCAGAACTTCCAAGGAAGGCTTATCTGCTGTTGCTGCTGTTTTTCAAGTGTCAGAGCTGAAATTTTCACTTGGTGCAACACTCCCACGTTCTGGGAGTGTTCCAGGAGCCAGGCAGCCGGGAGTATGTGCCGTGTGAAGAGGTGATTCATGAAGGCACCTTGACATCGCCACAGGCTGGGTGCTGTGGCACCCCCACTGTACAGGTGGGGAAACTGAGGTCGGAGGAGAGGAGTTTCTAACACTGTCCAACTCATAAGGGGTGGAGTCAGGGTTAGACCCATGTTTGCCCGATTCCAACGTTCCAACTCATAATGACATAGGGTAACAGGAAAGGAAGGAGAACGGGAAAGGAGGGGAGAAGAATGGGTTAATAGCATGGACGGATCTCCAAGAAAAACTACACACAGATGCGGGGGGTGGGGGGGTGGTATACATTCTCACATCTAGGAAACACTGGGATATGATTTTTGTTTTAAACAGAAATTAGGTGATGTCATTTTCCTGAAAAAAAAAAAACAAAACATACAAAGAAGGCCTCACCCTGACTAAAATCCAGTCCCGACACGACCCTGGGTCCCAGCCCCGACACGACCCTGGGTCCCAGCCCCTAG